TTTTAAATTCTACAAACATTAAATATTTTTAATCTTAAAATTTATCGTAAATAATAAATTTATGTATTTTACTAAAATATTTGAAATTTTTTGACAAATTATCATGATAAACAGCTAGCAAGTACGCGTTTACAAGATAATTAAGACAAAAATCTTATATTTTATTGGGCATAACCAACACTATATAAATATGGAGATTATAAATAGTATATTTAAAACAATTAAAACAAAAGTTATAGATTACTAACTGATCATTTAGATAAATACGACTTTTACATTATTGTATGTATGTTCACAGTGGTTCGTCATTTTCACCACTTTTATTGCACTGATTGCCAGAAATGCCCTGGTTATTAATATTATTTTTATTCTTAAAATTGTTTAAGATTTTACTTTGTTTAATGGCAACACAGATTATATTTAATATTCCAAACCAAAATTGTTTCTAAATGGCCGTTACTCAAGAAGTATAAAATGCGTGCAATGTTCAAGAGATCTATCCTATCTAACCTATTTTAATATTTGGTCTACTACATACTATTGTATGCTTTCTTGATATTGAGGAATGCATTAAATAATTATTTTGCATTTTTGGTACTCAAAAATAATAAATTAAAATAATGTTTGCAATTATTATGTTCCGAAACGGTGTCATTAATAAAATATGACAACTTTATGTTTAATTTGGCAATTTGTCTTCTTTATAATTTATAATATGTTTTAACACGCAGATGATAACTGTGATAAATACTGATAATTAGAGCTCGGATGTTTATGACTAGCATATTTTTTTCGCGCAGCCAGAATTACACACTGGAGTGAGATACAAATTTGATTCATGAAATCTATATTACAAATATGCAAAAAAAGTTTGCATATTTGACATTTTTGAGCACATAATAAATGCATGTATTGATAATTTATAGACTTAATGGCATATTTCTAATATTTTAAATATAATATAAACATAACACTTTATACTGTTAAAAACTCATATATTTATATCACTATGTACCTATATGTTACAGTTAATGTGTTGACATCCGTTATTTTATGAAATAACTAGGTAGTTCATGAATTACCTACGAATATTACTTACCTAATGTATGAAATCATACTCTAACTAGTTATGTCATAGAAAATCTAGTTATTCTATACAATTTTAGTTAAATTTACATTAAAAATATGGTATCCGGACATTTTCCCCCCGGCTGTTTTTGGCGTAGTAGGACATTTTCCCCCGATAAATTTTTGTATGCGGACATTTTCCCCCCGTATTTTTTTCTATTATTTACCTTCGAATATAAAATTATTATCTTTAACACGTCATATTTTTTAGCTTTTGTTCATATATTTTTTTTTTATTTTTGTAAAAACTGTACGTTAACTAAAAAGTCTCTAATCTTAATTTCAATAAAAAAATAATGAATAATATTTAAAACAAGTT